ACCAATGGCTTATGCTCTAAGATCAATAATCAACAAATGGTACCTCATAAAATTGCAAAGCTTCTGTAAAGCAAAGGACACTGACAATAAGAAAAAATGGCAACCAACAGAATAGGAAAAGATCTTTACCAATCCTACATCCAATAGAGGGGTAATATACAATATACACAAAAATTCAAGAAATTAGACCCCAGACAATCAAATAACCCTATTAAAACTAGGGCACAGAGCTGAACAAATTCTCAACTGAGGAATATCAAATAGCCAAGAAGCACCTAAAGAAATATTCAACATCCTTAGAAAATTGGACATAGTATTACCTGAGGATCCAGTTATGCCATTCCTGGGCATATATCCAACAGATTCTTCAACATATAACAAGGACACATGTTCCACTATGTTCAGAGAAGCCTTATTTATAATAGCCAGAAGCTGGAAAGAACCTAGATGTCCTTCAACAAAGAAATGGATACAGAAAATGTGGTATATTTACACACTGGAGTACTACTCAGCTATTAAAAACAATGAATTCATGAAATTCTTAGGCAAATGGATGGAACTAGAAAATATCATTCTGAATGAGGTAACCCAATCACAAAAGAACACAATGTTGTGCACTCACTGATAAGTGGATATTAGCCCAAAAGCTTGGAATACCCAAGATCCAATTGACCACATGAAGCTCAAGAAGAAGGAAGACCAAAGCATGGCTGCTTCAGTCCTGCTTAGAAAGGGAAAAAATACTCAAGGAACAAAATATGGAGACAAAATGTAGAGCCATACAGGGACTGCCCAACCTGGAGATCTATCCTGTATACAGTCACCAAACCAGGACACTATTGTGGATACCAAGAAGTGCTTCCTGACAGGAGCCTGATATAGCTGTCTCATGAGAGGCTCTGCCAAAGCCTAACAAATACAGATATGAATGCTGACAGCCAACCATTGGACTGAGCATAGAGTCCCCAGTGGAGGAGTTAGAGAAAGGACTGAAGAGGCTGAAGGGGTTTTCAACCCCATAAGAAAAACAATATCAACCAACCAGACCCCTGAGAGCTCCCAGGGACTAAACCACCAACCAAAGAGTACATATGGAGAGACCCATGTGGCAGAGGATGGCCTTGTTGGGCATCAATGGGAGGAGAGGACCTTGTCCTGTGAAGGCTTGATGCCCCAGTATAGAAAAATGCCAGAGAGAAGGAGGGAGGAGTGGGATAGAAGCAGGGGGAGAGGAGAGGAGATAGTGGGTTTATGGGGAAAACTGGAAAAGGGGATAACATTTAAAATGAAAATAAAGGGAATAGCCAATAGTAAAAAAAAAGAAAAAAAGATGTGGACAGCCTGGGTGTTAACAAGTCTTCAATTCAGATCACAAACATGGATGAAAGAGCCCAAGAAATGGAAAGTTCTTGAGAAATAAGAGTTAAAATATCAGGTTAGTAGCTGTATCAAACATCAGAATTGAACTAGGTTATAGATTTTGTTGGATCTGTTTCTTGACACACTGCAGACACTAAGCAAAGGCTTCGGTAAAACAGTAAGGGAAATGTATATGCCCTATGTATGGAAGAACAGAGAATCAAAGAGACTGATCCAATGTAGAGTTATAGGGATATGAGATACTCTACCAATATAACATGTATTAAATTATCAAAGGCAAGTATCTCACAATGGAGTGAGAAATGACAGAAGAAATGCAGTGGGATATTGCTGTTTCATGACAATCTAAGGGAACCCTGACACTAGGGCAAGAATTGTGACAATGGAGAAGGTGGACTACAATTGAGTGAGTTTTGTTCTGTCAACATTGACCAGGTGTGCCTTTGGTAACACAGGAAGGAAGAACATCACCATGACTTGAGTTGCATAAAATGAGATAGAATGGTGTGTGCATACATTCCATGTTTGCTTTTGTATTGTTTACGGGCAAATATACCTTACATAGAGCCTCTGTCTTTTCCCATAACTATAAAAATAAGGAAAACACGGAAACTGCAGTGAATACCAGTCAGTGGCCCAGGTCTTGGAGGAAAGCACTGTGCACTTCCATTAATCTACCCTGCATGACCTTCAGGTCCAAAACTGTAAAGAGTATGAATAGAAACTTAACAACCCTAGCACACCCAGAAGGACAGGTTATCCCAGAAATTCAGAAGCCAATTTTCAGAATCATTCAGTAAACATCTGTTTGTAGGGTCCCCAGACATGAAAAAGCATAATCAGTACAGAAAGGCAGAAGATAATAGTGCCCTTGTCTTTAGATGTTGACATCACCAAGCCTAATGAAGACTCATTTTCTGCTGGTGACCTTCCTGGCATCTCTAGAGTTTCCCAGGGAAGACAGGGAATGGAAGCAATGTTGGTGATTGGGGTCATGCTGATAGCAGATGGGGCTCCATGACAGAAACAGACAATTTATGGCCTCAATACTACTGACTGAACAAAACTTAATTATCTGGAGCTGGCAAAAATGCCCAGCAAGAAACTCTGAACTCTTTACTTTTAAGTGTACATACATACAGATATATACATTTGGCAGTAAATTTCTGCTGGTAGCAGCAGGGAATTAGGTAAAGGACTAATTGTTAAGAGTTCCTTTCTCCCTTGTCTAGCAGATTCTTGCTGGTCAGGCAAGGGTTTTAGACTTGCTAAATCTCTATGAACCAGAGAGAAAATAAAGGAAAATAATTTAAATATTTTATACAGACAATATGTACAGACTCACATACACTCATACACACACATTCTGGTCAGGCCCGACCTCCTGTATCATCTAGTCTACAAATGGTCATGCATATTTATACATATACGTACATGTATATACAGATAAGCAGACATATACATATTTTTTACATTTGGTGGATTGGGCTGAGTCTCAAACTCCATACACATACATTTGAATGGATGGATGGGGAACCTAGTCACCACTTTATTTTTCTCTGATCTTTTATAGACAAAACCTCTTAGAAAATTACCTCAGAGATTAAATGTTACACAAAAGCAGAGTTACATGAGGATGTTAATACTAAGTTCAAAGCAGTGTTTCATTCTGTAAGCTCACTATAAGTTTAAAGCAAGAGTTTCACGTGGCCTAATTTTATCATAGTGCATACCTGTGGCTTCATCTTTGGATGGGAATGTTTTTCCTTTGATTGCAAGTTTGTCTCAAACCTATTTCTCTTTTTATTGTAATTGTGAAACCTCATTGTATTTCTTATTATTCAGCCATTACTTGCTATTTTATGAGGAATGGGCACATTCTATACTTGATTTTAACTTTATTATATCTTTCTCAAAAAAACAACTAAAACCGTGTCTTACTAGAATCTAACCAATACAGATGTGGAGGCTTGCAGCCAACCACCAGAGTGAGGACAAGGACCCCAATGGAGGAGTTAGGGGAAGGACTGAAGGAGCTGAAGGGATTTGCAACTCCATAGGAAGAACAACAATATCAACCAACCAGACCTTACCCCCTTACACCCCTAAGCTCACAAGGACTAAACCATCAACCAAAGAGTACGTATGGAGTGACCTATGGCTCTAGCTGCATGTGTAGTAGAGGATGGACATATTTGGTATCAATGAGAGGGGAGGGTCTTGATCCTGTGGAGGTTCAATGACCCAGTGTAGGGGAATGCTAGAGCAGTGGGGCTGGAGTAGGTGGGTGGGTGGGAGGCACCCTCATAGAAGCAGGGGGAGGCAGGATGTGATAGGGAGTTTGTGGAGGGGTAACAGGGAAGGGGGATAACATTTGAAATGTAGATAAATAAAATAACCAATAAAAAAGGGAAAATTTTTCTTATTTGAATCAAATCTGGAATTTTATAAAATCATGAATTTATCTGAATAGAATTAGTTCATGAAAGTTCATCTTTATGTTGATCTGCAAGAAGTCTGCTCAAAAGGGTGGGCTAATGCCCAAAAGTCATTATACTATGTAATAGAAAGAGGAAAAGGCATATCAGCTGCAAGAAGCAATCCTGAGATAAAATTTCTGAAGGCCTTGCAATTCAGAGTTTACCTATCGCAGCCACGCAAAAACAGTGGGCCATCTCCAAGAAAGTCACTTTCATGCCTTTGGTCTATCCTAGATATCTCCTGACAATTTTCCTCATTTGAAAATTGAGTACAATAAAAATATAAACCTTAGATGAGACTGTGATGTCTGAGATAAAGCCTTTTTCATCATAGCACTGAACTAGTGTTTTCTGTTTGTAGCTACTATTACACTAAGCAAATTGTCTTTGGCTCTACCATCCTACTGTACTAATATTTAGATGTTTCATTTATTTATTTATTATTCATCTATGCATTAATTGCATTGCATATTCAGTGCATTGTATTGGAGTGGGTGAGCCATCTGTGTAGCCATATGAGTAGAAGTTCAAAGGACAACTTTCCAGAATTAATTTTTTTCTCTACCATGTGAATCCCAAGGATCAAGCTCAGCTTGTGTGGCTTGACAGCAAGTACCTTTCTTCACTGAGCCATGAGAACTCCATGCTTATAGTTAAGTAAAATAATTCTACTAAGAAGTATTTCAACAGTTTCCCTAATACTGCCCTGGTTATAGCAATTGTACAAACTTTATGACAAGCTCCATGTGATGCTTTGAAAATACTGTAACATAGACATCGCAAGATTTTCATGATACATCCTGAGCTAAGTGCATAAGTTATTAAGATGCCAAATAAGTACTAAGTTAAAGCCAATTAAAGTTTTTTTTAAAGTTGCTTATAGACTCCTCACAATCAATAGAATTAATTGGCTATTAATCAGAGAAAATCTCTGAGTTTCCCTTACATCAGGAAAAAGAACATCCAAGTTCTGTGATCATACAACACTCATTGCTCTTTGGCAATATTCATTTTCATAATATTAGGCTGTTTTAATAAAAATTGAAAGCATATGAAAATAAACTTAATGACAAAAGTTTGTTCATGTCTGAATGAATAAATTTGAGTTGAAAATCCTTAGGTTAAAATATCTAACTTCTTCCTGTCCCTAGAGGTGTTTCAGGTGTAGCTACTATGACACATGTGCATCAGTAGGTGGTAGGGAGGAGAAATGATGTCTATGCTCAGTATTATGAACTGTAAACATCTGAACAATTAGTATCCTAATATGAAAAAAGTGAACCTGGTGCCAGTGGGCCTAGCAAGGAGCTAGCCTAAGACAATCAACAGTCTGGGACCTGGTAAGCCCAGAAGGGCTCCCAGGACAAGGAGCAAACCTGAGACTAGAAGAATAATGCCTGGAACCATGAGGCTCATGAGGGCATAAGTTCAAGACAGATGAAGTTTGCAAGGAATCACTTGGGTGTCTCAGAGAGGAGTGAACCCAAGGTAATCACCAGATTGGCACCATGAGGCTTGGACAGAGGCCATAATGCACAAGTGAGGCATAGCACTCCTGAGATGACTCCAGACACTCAGAGACATGGACTCATAGGGGGCAGCAATCGGAATAAAAAGTTTTAAAAATAAAAGAGAGAGAGGGAGAGGGAGAGAGGGAGGGGAGACAGAAAGAGAGGAGAGAGAAGGAAGGAAGGAAGGAAGGAAGGAAGGAAGGAAGGAAGGAAGGAAGGAAGGAAGGAAGGAAGGATAAAAGGAAGGAAGATGTGTGCACAATGAAGAGATGCAAAACTGGATACTCAGGATTACTGAGGAACAAACATCCCAATATGAGTGGTTGGTAATGCCACCTAGAACAATGGTGGGGTACTGGCCTGTGCGGACTCCAGGGACCAAGGACTGCTTCTGGGTCTGCGGCCCTGCAACAGCAGATGGTCTGTTATCACCAAAAACCTTGTCTACCTTGAGGCCCTGAGACATGTTGATGTCTAAGGAATGTACAGAACTGCCATCATACTTGACATGGGAATTATGGAACAGCAGGCCTTAGGAAGATGAGAGCAGGAAAGCCGGCCCTGAGAACATGATTGAGCATGGAGAACTGTCCCTACCACTTATCTCCCAGGAAAAGATAGTCTCCTCCCCACTTGTTCCTCAATTACCTACTTAAAGAAGGAGAACTGCTGCAAGAAGGAGAACAGAGTTGGAGACCTGGCCCTGTCTGTAGCCTGATACAGTACTTGGGAGAGTAGACCCTGTACTTTACCCGGGCAGCACAGTAGAGCTGACTCTGTATATGAAGGTGCTGGTGAGCTGGCACTGAGATCACATCCTCATGGGAGAGCTGGCCCTGAAACTTGTCTGCCTTACAGTAGCATGGTTAAGGCAAAGTTGCCCTCCTTCTCTCTCATCTCTTGACACCTATGGCAGGCAGAAGAGCTGTCTCTGGTGTCATGAAAGTTGGAGAGCTGGCCCTGCCCCTCACCTGCTGTAGCACTTAGGAGAGTGAGCTATGCACCTCAACAGTGTAACACAGCAGTTCTGGTTCTGAATATGTGGGTTGCATGTGAGCCAGTGCTGATAGCATGAGCATGGCTTGTGGATCCTGGTTCTCCACTGCTAGACAGTGCTGAGGATAGCACTAGATCCAAGGCAATGAATTAGTCCATGCCAACCTCTACCTTATGGATGAACTGCTGGAGCACATGAAAGAGCTGGTTCTACAGATTCAAAATTACAGGATATCTGTGTCACAGGGCAGCAAAGTGATATGAATGAAATCCGAAGAAATAAAAAAAATCCAATTTCTAACTGTGGAGGGGATAAGATTACTGGCATAAGTTTTGATATACACATTAGAAATATTGATGGTATGGGTGCTGGAGTGATGGCTCGGTAGTGAAGAAATATTACTGTTTTTTCAGAGGGCCCAGGTTTAGCTTCCAGTACCCACACAGTGCCTGTATCACCAGTCTCTGGCTATCTGTGGCTTTCTTCAGCAGTGAATATTCATGGTGCACATAAATGTATGAAACAGACTCCAACATAAATAAAATAAAATAAAATAAAATAAAATAAAATAAAATAAAATAAAATAAAATAAAATAAAATATCTCATGAGCAAAATGGATGGTGGGGATGGCTGTGGTCCTTCTCTGTGAGGTCAGGGAGAACTCTACCATCTTGTTTCCCTGGTAGGGTATTCTACAGGGGAATAACAGACACAATGTCCTCTGCAGGGATATATTTCTGGAGAAAATCAATAATTCCATGGGAGAAGAGTTGAACAGAGTACATTTATAGAAATAGATCAAATCATCGTCTTTCCACTTGAAGATCTAATTTATCCTATACCTTGTCTCTAGCCTATTTTTTTCTCATTATCTTTAACAACCTCTCTCCAGGTATTCAGCTACACAAGCAAACTTTTCTAATGATGCCAGAGAAGGCACATTGATAGTGAACTAACTAACAAAAGAATATCCAGATGCTATATTTTACCTCCAGGGCTCAACCATTTATGTGGCTATAGCAAAAAATAGCACTGACTCGGAGCTTGAGGCAACAGAAACTTCTTTCCCACATATCTTGAGTCTAGGTAGTCTAAAATCAAAGTGTCCCATGTAGAGAGGTTTGGGATAGTTCAACTCCTGTCTTACAGATGACTGCTTTCTGCCATATCCTTATACCAATGAGAGAGGGTCTCTTTCCTCTTACTTTCACTTTCATGACTTAATCTAAATTTTACTCCTGCCTAGTGGTCTCACCTCCAAATAGTATAGAGACTATGCAAATTGTCGGTAAACTAAGAAGAGGAATGCAGTCCTCATGACACTAAGACAAATGAGATAATGTATAACTGGGCACACAATAGAGCTAAATTGTCACGGACAGATAAATTCCTATCAAGAAGGACATGGCGGATCACATATGTAATCCCACCACTCAGGAGGCAGAAGCAAAAAGATGTCTACCGGTTTGAGGCCAACTTGGCCTGTATAAAGAACTACTATCAAGCGTGGGCTACTTAGTAAGAACTGGTTTTTTTTGTTTTTAAATGACCAAAATAAATAAGTAAATTCACCTTTACAAACCATTCCAAGGGAAATATGGCTGACAACTTAATGGTCCTAGAATCCATCCCTATGATAGATTCTGGCTAGCATGCAGGGACTTAGAACGACTGGCATGAGAAAACAAGAGTGTATTACTGAAAGCCACACAGGGAGTCAGATACCACAATTTTATAGTTTTACTTCAGTTTAGTATGACTTTTATAATGTGAGGTTTCACTCATCCCATAGCTTGAGATTCCTAGCTGAATACTCTCCTACACTGCAGATCTGGAGACATTATATCTCAATTATCTCTTGCTCTCTTGTAGGGTCACATGTAGATATGTATGCTTTCTCCACTTTGATGGAAAATTTTCAGTCTTTCATGATGATAAAAAAGAAAAATGAATTGACTTTTCCAGATTGTGAGACAACACAGATATTTATGTAAGGTAGAAAAATAATTTTAGGTTTGCTTCTAAGAATTTTGTTGATTGAAACACTTCTATTTTAAATATGTGATTACAAAGGTTAAGGTATATTGCTTACCCTGACTCCAGGAGTCTCTTAGGTTTGCATAAATTAGAACATACATTCTAATGGAAACATGATGAAATGGTAACCAAGGATGTAGCTTTGGAATAACATCTGAGGACAGTTACTATGATCAATTTCAGTTCATATCTGTTTGATCCACATCCTGTGCTCAAATGATCACATTATTTCCATAACCAGGATATGTGATAATGCGGAGGTTGGTGATAGCTCAGCAGATATGGGTTTTTTTCTATGCAAGCCTAGCAGCCTGAGATTGATCCTTGAAACCCATGTGAAGGAAAAAAAGAACTGACTCCACACTGAGGGCCTCTTAATTCTATACGTGTACTGTGATGTGTGACCACACACACACACACACACACACACATACACACACACACACACACGTATCCTATGTACACACACTCACAAATATATCTGAAATGAGAAAATATCAAAATAATTGACTACACTATTATCAAGATAGTCTTGGAAACATATGGAATTTCACTTCTGTATTTCAGCATGCTGGTAAAAATTGAATTGCCATTTTAGTGTTCTACTATTTCCCTTTAAACTGATAAAAGGAAATAAAAATGTGTTTCTGTTAAATTTCCCTCTCCATCTCTCTATACAGCATGCTTCAACAAACACAGTTACTGTTTAATGATGTGTGTTTAACTGGCGTGTATGGGCTAAGAAAACCAAAAGTATTTTTCAGCTGATGCCTTAACTCTGTGCTATAAATACTAAAACACTAAAACATGTCTCAAAGTGTGTGGCTGTGGCTTAGGCATATACACCCCATCCGGGGTCTTTTAAGTGTCATTTCATCAGCCCGGTCTCCATTTTGTCATCACATATGGTGTGACTGCTCACTCACAGGTGCAACGATGCAAGAAGGACCTAATTAAAATCAATACTGAATATAATAGGCACACCGCATCAAATGTTACATACACTTAAATTCCTGGCGTGAGTTCTATTAATTGTCTCCATTGACAATTGTAATCATAGTAACTATCCTCAGTCTCCTTCTTTCTGTGGCTAAAAATGATCAAGAGTAGCTCATGTTTTCTTCTGGAATTGCTCATCAGAAGACTGAATCTGCATTTAAAGATTCAAATTCACGGAGATATTTTTTTTCACTCTGATTTGTTTTTAAATCATATGTTTGCTACATCCTCATTTGTGGTTTCTAGCTTGTAGCACTAATGGCATTGACTTAGAATTCTGCAGGAAATCATCTCCAAACAGCATGTGATTTACTATGCCGTGTTTATGTGAGTGCTTGATCACCTTCCTTTTCTGTTCTATATATATCTAAATGTTAATGTAAGTTGAGAAAGAATACTTACTTTTATTCAATAAAACATTATAACACTCATTATTAAAAGACTGGCATATTTAATGAATTCTTTTTAGTGAATTTAATATGTGGTATCAAAATATACTTTACATGGCATCTTTTCCCATAATTTGCTACAAGGACATCATTCCTTGAGTATCACAGAGTCCTCAAAACAAATCTGTGGTACAAGTTGTATGAGTTTTTGTATATTTATGAAGAAGCTGAGCACCAGAGAAATAAACTAATGCACTCAATGTCTTGTAACTAGCTATTAGATCACAGTACACATTGTATAAATTGTAGTACAAACTTTTAAAAATATATACTAAT